ACTTCACAGAAAGCGTCCATTCCTTCTTTCCTAAGATATCAATCACTATCACTCTACGCGGTTGGTTTCGGAATAATAAATATAAATAATAATAATTATTATTATTAGTCATACAATCGACATATTAAAACTGTAATTAAGAAAAATTATAAATGATTATAACAATTACAGTTAACCAACAAACAATTAATTATTATTACATTTTATTAAGTATATAGCCTAATATTTTCATACCCGTAATTCTTTCAGATTTGATTACTGATTGGCTATTTACATTTATATCCCCACCACCCATTTCCCAATGATAAATTATTATCCTTCTTCTTCCATTCTCATATCATATTTTCTCACTATCTGTTACCTTACACTGCTTGTACATTTTCCAGGAAAGTTCAAGATTTCCTGGAAAAAGTTCTGATTTAATACAGACCCAATTTTCTTTTCCTCATACCAGAATACCCATTTCATATATTCTGCAAAATCTACATATACAAATAATAATAAAAAGAAAAAAATCCTAATTTGATTCCAATGGGGCAAGGGCAATCCAAAGACGAGTTGCTCTACCAGCAAGTCAGTTATGGGAACACCGAAGGAATCAAAAGCCTTCACAGAGACGGAGCAGGCCTTGAGGTATTGGAACCGTGGGAAAATTTCAGGGGGAAATGTGAATTTTGTTATTATTATTGATGGTTCTAGGTTTGGATCGGTTGCATGATTTTATTTATTTTTTATTGAGATTGGTGTGTTGATCTTTGATGCAGTGGAGGGACAAAGATGCGAAGACCCCCTTGATTGTTGCTTGTATGAATCCTCATCTTTATAATGTTGCGAAAACTTTGATAGAACTTGGAGCCAATGTCAATGCATATCGTCCTGGTATTGATCTCTTTTCAGTTTGTTGTTATTTCTGGCTTCATCAATTGTCTTGATGGAAATGGTGCTTACTGCTTTTGTTTATGGATTAAATAATTAAATTTTCTGAGAAACAGGGTTGTTGTGGTAAACGGTCATTTGATAAAACTGATACTTGGTAGTAAAAGTAATATAATCCTCAGAGTTTTCTGGTAATTAGGAATAGTTTAGATGCTTACATGGCCTGTAGATTCCTTAGTTGAGATGGTTGTCTTGCTTGTGTATGCTGCACCGTCATCCTTAATTTTTCAGAACAAGAATTGTAATTGAAATTGAACACTGAATTGGTTTATGTTCGGTGTCATCTGTTGGATTTAATTTTCAACTGTGTTTTAGGTCGTCATGGCGGGACTCCGTTGCATCATGCAGCTAAAAGGGGCTTTGAAAGTATTATTAAGTTACTTCTTGTGCATGGCGGTATGGTTAATAATTAGCAATTCATGATTACTTTTGTTCATTTGAATTCTAGAAACTTATCTTTATGGACTTTACCAATCAACTTTGCAGCTAATCCTTTAATACTAAATGATGATTGTCTAACTGCTCTGGAGGTTGCCAGAGCCAAAGGACATGGTTGTGCTGTTCGTACAATTGAGGTACAAAACCTTTGTAATTTAACATCAATTTCCTTTTCTTTATCATGACTCCTAAGGCACCTAAGTTGTTTAAATGATGATTGTTGGCTTGCAGAGTCATCTGTGCTTGTTCTCGGGTTGGTTACGCGAGCTTCATGGACCTGG